GGGTTAATATTGTGCATATCGTTATGTGTGTGTGCATGTGTGTGTGTGAGTACATGACATGAGTGTCTCATTTTGGGAAGATGATGCTGGTGTCCTTGGACCAGACCTACCTTTTTGTTTACTTTTATGAGACCCATGGGTTTTTATCCATAAGTTCTAGACTAAACCTAGGAAATCCAGTCACTGCATTATAATCACTTGTAAGTCACTGTTCATGCATTATAAACAGAAAATGGAACTCAAGAAAAACAAACATTTTAAAAGATATGATTTCATTTAGATTTTGCTCCTAACATATTTTTTCCTCTTAAAATGAACTTTAGATTGAAATAAGTTTTGAAGCTTTGCCTAGCAAGCTAAGAACATTTTAAAGTATGTTATAGATAGAAAAGAAACTTAGGTTGTATTAAGTATTTTTAAAGAATCTGAGCTACAATCCTTGTTTAAAGTGAGATGTGAAACATAGTTTAAAGAATAATCCTCAGTGGTTTATAAATCTTCTTTCCTGCCTGCCTTTGGAATAGATTCATTGTTTTTACAGTGAAAATCTTTTTCCTTGTGCTTCTTTTACATGAATAACTTAATATTCTGGGTACAATATAAAAAACTGAAAATATTCTTTTTCTGACAGTTTTACATTTATATGTATTGCCTTCTGCCAAGATAAGCTATAAATTCTCTTTGTTGATTTAACAGAGAGCTATAAATAAATGATCCCGCTACATTTAGGAAATGCTTTTTTTTAACATAAAATATTGGCATAAACAGAAAATGACCCAATAAATAACATCTATTTCAGGGGCTGGGGATTTAGCTCAGTGGCATAAGCACCTGCCTTGCAAGCAGGCAGTCATGAGTTTGATACCTGGTACTGATAAAAAGACAAAAAAAATAACAGCTATTTCATTGTTTTCTGTTGTTTAAGGCATTTAATCAAATGTTTAATCTTAGAATAAGTTCTACAGAGCCATTTTGGATGGATGGCTCATCCAATGAGCCATCATTGGATGGATTTTCCCCATTTGTAGTCGTATGTTTTGCTATGTACCCAGTTATGGGAGACAACAAATTATATTTTTAGGTTTAGTTGATACTGACAAAAAAATTAGAAAGACAAGAAAGAGAGGCTTCACACTTCTGGATGATTCTCAGTGGTAGTTGTTGGTGGTTGTGATCATGGTGTGGGAGGTCAGGTCATTCCTAACTCTACAGTCCAGATGGAAGCACAGCTTTTCTTGACATTTGAAAAGTGTACGTTCTCAATGTTTGGGAATCAGGCAACAGAGAAGTATCAAGTGTGAGTCCTAAGCCAGGAATATTAGCAGTTTCTAATCTCACGGTCTTATTTTCTTCCCTTTCTTCCAGTCCCCCAACACCACCTTGTTCTTCCAGATATTCCAGCATCTTTGTTACCGATTTCCTACTTTTAGATGTTACACCACTGGGACATACCCAGGACATATCACTGGGTTACAACTATCCATCCCATAGTTTTCTACTACAAAATTGTACTTCAGCATAATAGTAGCTGGCTGTACATCTCAGAACCGCACCTGGGGGATACAAGAGGCAATCTTCGTGATTGCCCACTAAGTAAGATGAATGTCAAGGTGTGTGCATGTGTGCAAAAGTGTCAAATTGGGATTTTTACTGATGTAACACTATTAAACAGGTTTTGCATATATTTATCTGAGCTTCACATGGAATAAAACAAATCCACACCACTTTTCCATTCTGTAAATGTGCATTTTACCATAGGTGGAATGTGGGTATGACTCACAGTGGCTGTACTTAGGGGAAGCAGAAATCTACTTGTACATTCACTGGGCAGACAAATGGCAAAGTGTGAAGAGGCGGTCTAAAGCAGCAACAGGCGAGTTTTACCCATGTAATGCTCATTACTAAATTTCTGTGCGTTTAGGATTTGTTTTCTTAAAAAGTTTTCTTTTGATTTTTTTTTTTTTTAGTAGAAGTAGCTCAGCTCAGTACAATGGCATATGAAAAGCCAGAGAAGCAAGTTTTAGAGGAGGTCGAAAGTGAATTATCAGATCATTCATGCATTATAAAGAAGACGGTAGTAACTTTGACATTGGCCATTGAAGTCAAAGTTCCTGTGACCGTGAATTGGAACAAGAATCAAGGGACACAGGGGATTTGGACTCCTTTGATCCAGGTGATGAAGAAAACAAACGTGGGTGCACATTTGGCTAATAGAAATGGTATGAAATGGTCATGCAACCAAGTGGAATGATCTGATGTTAAAACTAGGCCCAACAACATTGTAAGGATCTTGGCCAGGAGTCTACATTCCCTGTGAAATACACAAATGCTAAAGTACAAGTTAGGCGTTCTGTATGCAGTAATGGCTATACTCAAGAATGTGTTTATTGTGACACCTCACTAACTGAGCTGAAATCACTCATAAAAAGGGATTTCCATTGGTAATCCCAGAAATACAAAAGACATGCAAAACAGATGAGTATGGACTTGAGGTCTATAGAATAATGATGACACCGAAGAGATATGGTTTCTTTCAAAATTGCCTGAAAGTTTGATGACAAAACCACCTGCCAAGAAATGAAAAGAACTGGTAATCTGGCTGCTTTCTCTGCTCGTGGTTGGAGAGATTTGTGGATAATTGTCAAGCGGTGTATACACTACCTAGGTACATGGCTACTGATGAACATCTTGCAGCATTTTGTGGTCACTGTAGCTTCAGGCAGTATACTCCAAAACCCCCTCCAAATATGGCATAAAAGTGTGCACCCTTGTAGATGCAAAGACTTACTATTCTTTCCATTTAGAAATTTACCCTGGAACTCACAAGCCATTAGGTCCTTATTCATATAGTAATCAACCAAATGGTCTGATTTTCTCAACAACTCCAAGAGAAACAGAATCCATAGTTGGAAAAAAAAAAACCTCAAGATTTACATGATTTTGTAGAATTCTACCAAATACTTAAAGAATAATTAATATTATCACCCATATTACAGACTCTGAGAAAACACTCTCACTCATGAAGAGGTTAGGATCCTGATGTCATAGTGACACAGGTAGCACAAGCAAAAAGAACTGATCAAAATCTCTTGTGAGTTCACACATAAACATCCTTAGTGAAATACATGAAAGCTGAATTGAGATACACACACACACACACACACACACACACACACACACACACACATACACCCTCACAAGCAGTGAACAAGTGACATGAATTCTGGAAACGTAAGACTGATTCATTATTCAAATTTTTTCAGTGTCATTTGTGAGCTAACAAAAGATTCAACTTTTATATCACTGGAGCCCTGAAAAATGAAGAGTGCATACTAAAGACTTCAAAAAAAATTGCAGAAAGTGTTGCTAAATTGGTGAAAGATGCAAAGCCACTGACTCAAGAAACTGAGTGAAACTCAAGCAGAATAAACACAAAGGAGCAGTCTGAATAGCTGGTTCATAAACTTGAGACTATATAAAATACAAAAGATGATTCAAAATTTTTAGTAAAGCCAAAAATACTGCAATGGCTATAAAATGAGGATTTCTCAGTACAGTTCAGGGTAAAAGTCACAGATTATATTTTTTATGATTGAATTAGGTATAGGTGGATGTCATTTAATAATAGTATAAATCTTTAGAGGGATTTTAAAAATAGCTTTAATATTGTGTTAAATGCCAAAGATCTAATTCTTTATAGCTTCCAGGGGGAAAAAATCCAGAGAGTAATTGGATGAACTATCACAGCTTGTGTGGTAAAGGGAAACTGAACAATCAGAAAGTATTGTACTAACGAAGAAAAATTAGAATGACTAGGGGTAAAAAGCCTTACTGAAAAAAAAATACTGTACCACATAATGATTAAGTTAAAACTTACAAAAGAAGACAAAGAAACTCAGGGAAGTTTCACATTGTAGTTATATCTGTGTGAAGAATTGAAAGAAACTGGAGAGGTGAAAAAAAAATCACACTTACTGACTGATGTTCATCCAAATAGTTCCAACAGACAAAAAGGACATTCTGGAAGGACCGACTAAGGCATGAATGTTAACTTTGCTTTTTAAGTCAGAAATCATGGAAGTTAAGTTAGCAATTTGATTAAGCACTGATATTTCTTTACTAATTTTATAAAGGTAATGTATAGGGGACAAGTAACTTAATTTTTTAAAAATGAGACTTCTCCTTAATGTATGCAAAACCACACTGGGTGGGTGTGTCCATGGAAATGAATCCATGCTGGTGATTCTGTGGGAAGAGGGTCCTTTTGCACCCTGTGCACCTCAGCAGCTGTGGGGTCCTCTACCAATCACGCCTCCTTCTACAAGAACCTCTCTTGGTTTTCTTTGTGTATGACTGAGCTGGAAAAAAATTGCTGGCTTTTACTTAAAATGAACAGAAAAGTACTTCAGTGCTTATCTTTAAAAATTAATTTGAAAAGAAATGTGAAGAACTGAGTTTGAAAACTTGTTCTTTGACAGGTGAGTGTGCTGGCACAGGCAAAGGAAATGCTGCTTAGGAATGACTTACTTCCTTCTGTCTCTGTCTCTGTCTCTCTGTCTCTGTCTCTGTCTCTCTGTCTCTCTCTCTCTCTGTCTCTCTCTCTCTCTCCCCCCCCCCTTTGGTATCAGAGGATCAAACTCATCACCTCATACTTGCCAGGCAGGCTTTTGTGCCGCTGAGCTATATCCCCTGCCCCTTGGAGTGACTTTTTTAAACCTGGAGAATGAAAAACTTATGGCAGTGGTTAAAGTGTAGATCACAAGATGAATCCTTGCCCAGTGGTCAACAGGGATTTTGAAAGCTGGCTTATTTACAGAGAACGTAAGTGTAGCTTCTTTCTAAGCATGAAAATAGAGAAACTTTCAGTGGTGTGATCAGATTGTGTAGCAGAACTAAAAATGTGAGAGTCGAGAAGAGTTTCTTGACAAGTAAATCTTGAAAACTTAATTTAATTTCATGCGACAAAAACAGAAGTGATCTGTTGTTTTTCTCCTTCACAGAGGTCCTTGAAGAACTGGGAATGCAGCAAGTGGTAAAGCACCTGCCTAACATGCCTGGGGCCCTGGGCTCAATCTCCCCTCTCCACCAGAGAAGAAATTTTTCAGCTATATTTTTCCAAGAAACAAAAGAGAAAGCCACTTCTATGACACAAGTCTTTGGATCTTTTAGTTGAAAGATATTTAACAAAATTGCTACCATCCATCATCTGAAACCATTAAACCACCTCTCTAGCAATGTTCTGTTCATTTTACCTCAGTGATTGCCTTTAGAAATTTTGCAAAACAAAGATAAAACCAATTTCATTTGAGTGCCCATTTTTCACTGGGTTCAGGCTCTCAGAATACGGTGACACAAGATGAGAAATTACCATGATGTAAATTCAAATGAGCTCAAATTTCTGAAGTAACTCAATTCTGCTCAGCAGTGATTAAATAAGGACACAGAGAGGAAAACCATTTCTTTTCCTGTTAGCAAATGATTCATTAATTCATGCAACATTGTATCTGCTGTTTTCCCAAGTGCTTCCTATAGTCAGTGAACAAAATAGAAAAATTCCTGTTTGCTCATGGAATAAGTTTTTCCAGTTAAATCCTTTCAATTTAAAATGTTTCCCTTACAAAAGTCTGTGGTTAGAGACTCGTGGGTGGCTGTTTCCTCTTCTCCATTAGAAGGGACTTGGTGGAAACGTTCAAGAAACACTGTAGCAACTCTCTGACTTCTCTGAGTACCCAACATGGTTAACTGAGGAGCAGGCAGCTGTTAGGGAAGAGTGGGAAACAGGTGAGTTGACAGAGATGGTGACCTCCTGTGACACAGACCCGGCTAAGGGAGCGTGGGGGCCTCACAGAGCAGAGGAGTCCTGGAGCCAGGAAGTTCCTATTTTCAAACCCTGGCCTTTCCTGCTGAACAGTAAGCAATCCACCCAGGAAATGCTTGCTCTTGGAATCTCTTTTCCAAGGGTCTGTGCAGACCAGCTGCCTTCCAGTCAGACAGGGCTCAGTCACAGAAGTTACCTTTCATCAGATTGTATCTATGTGACTTGACTGCATTCAGCTCTCACCAAAACAATACAGTGTTCCCAGTGTGCAGCTACCTCGTACCATATCTTAAATTGTAAAAATGATCTCCCTATTTCACTGTGTCTATTTTCAATATGTGTTACAGGGAAATATAATTTTTAATTTCTGAGCATCTAATGTCGCTTGTATCGTCTATCATATGAAGTTATGAGTGGCTTATTGTTTCAGTTACATTAATGAAGTTCTAGGTTCTGGGGATAGAGTCAGAAGAAAATAACAATAAATGTGGGAAGAGAGGCTCATCTTCGTACCTTTCCCCGTCCCTCACAGCAGGGTCCTCTGTTGCTGCCCTTGTCCCCTGTAGTTCTGAAAATACCTGAGGCGAGCGCTCAGCCTGCTGCTTAGTGGGTCAGATTGGTGGTGCTTGCTCCTCTAGCTGCCCGCAGGTGGGTCCTGGCTTCCTGGATTCCTGTGCACTGAGTTCCTTGATCTCAGACCTTGCTTTTTCCCAGTTCCCTTTCCTGGACACTTCATTTCCAGCCAGGTCCTGGGTGCAGTGTCCAGCGCTGCTTCCTGAAAGCTCCTCGAGGATGATCACCCGTGTGACTACTATCCCCCTTGAGTCTTTGCTGTGGTGCAGACCCTAGGTCTGGCTGGAAGCTTACTCTTGCTTTTGCTAAGTACGACACCTCATCAATTCGCTGAGGTGATAGGGCTTTCTGGGCGACAGGGCTGTCTCACTTCTGAACAGGTGATTACCCCACCTCTCTGGTCTCACCTCCTCTCTGTTAGCCTGAGATTTCCCACAAAAAGTCTTTATTCCCAATGATGTACCTCCCAAATTTTAATAATTGTTCCTTATTATTCCTACACATACTTTTCCTTAAAAAATACTGTGGCTACTTCTCTGGTTTTCGTTATCAATGAACCATTTCACTCCAGATAACATTAACTCAGACAATCTGTCACTGGGTTAATTTTAAACCCACACTTTCAAGCAAAGATTGAAATAAAAATGTACCACTCAGGATTGATCATTGGGTATTATTTTAAAACCGATTAGCATTAGGCAGGAAAAAAATGTGCAGATCTCAAATAGCTGGATTAAACTCATTTAATGATTCTTAAACAGTGGCACATGAATAATTTAATTGGAATACAAAGCTTCAAAAAGGAACTGATGGCAGAGCACAGTTAAATCAGAGTGAGGGTAAAGCTGGAGATAACCACTTGCTTGCTAAGGCTGTAAGAACCAGCGTCGCAGGGAAGAAGACCCCAAAGACTCAGCTCATAGTGAGGAGTAAAAAGTTTATTTCCATGCGCATGGGGTCCCCCAGGCAAACAAGTGCGGAGGGGCCCCGAGGGGGAACTGTGTAGGGTTTTTAAGGGCGCAAGCGGGAGGCAAGCAAGTTTACAGAAGCAGATTGCATTGGTTAATTTTGAGCAGCATAGGATTTGGCAGAAATTGATTGGAGGGGTTTGGGGTTGAGTAACCATGGAGACTGGGGGTCCTAGCCCAGTCACTATGTGCCCAGAACAGAACAGTTACTTGTCTTACTTATCTCGTTGAGACAGAACAACCTTGCAGGTGCATTCTTTCTTTTTTTTTTTTCTGCTCTGATAGCTCTGGGGAGTTAGGCATTTCTTTCTGCTCTGCTCTGATAGCTCTGGGGAGTTAGGGAGTTAACCCTTTCATTCCCGGCTCTGGGGAGTTAGGGAGTTAACCCTTTTATTTCCTGCTCTGGGGAGTTAGGGAGTTAACCCTTTCATTCCCCCCTTCTTCTTGTAAATGGCCTTTAATCCTAAAGGCCCTGCATGGGCAGGGGGTCATACTGTTGACGTAGCACCATAACTTTTACTTGAGAAATCTGGGTCCTCACAAATTGAGTTACTCGATTAATGAGGCAAGGGGCTATAGCCATAACTATAATGAACCCGGCCAGGGGTCCCAGTAAAGGGAGAATATAGGGCAGAATTGACTCCCAGAAGGAGAACGCTTTGGTCTCACTTAGAGAGGGCTCTCGGGATTTGATTCTGTCTCTCAGCTTTTCCATTGCATCCCTCACAATTCCAGTATGGTCAGTGTAAAAACAACATTCCTCTCTAAGTGCGGCGCAGAGACCCCCCTCTTTTAAAAACAGTAAATCTAGGCCCCTCCGGTTTTGTAACACTACTTCAGATAGTGACGTAAGGGATTGTTCTAGTGCAGTTATAGATCCCTCGAGGGCCTTTAAATCTTGGTTAACAACTGTGAGGAGCTGTTGGCGGGACTGGTGTCCAGTAATGAGGGCTGCTGTACCAGTCCCTATGCCTCCCGCTACTCCTATCCCCAGTAATACCGCCAGGGTCAGGGAAACCGGTTCTCGTTTACTTCGGCCCCTCATGAGGGGGAGCATGTTGGGTGGGAGGTACTTAATATGAGGCATGAGGTCTGTGAGGATACAGGAGCTATTGTCTGCAAGGAGAACATTTGTGGAGACACAAGGGGTGAGTCCAGTGGTACATAACCAGAATGCCCCAGGGGGGGAAGGAGATACTGATTTTTGGGAAAGGAGTTGACGTGTATGAGGCAGTGATGGCGTAGGTCTGTCGGCCAGTTATCAACTGTTCCTATATAGGTCCCTTGACTGGCGAGGCCCGGAAGGGGGAGAGTGTGGTATACTTGATTCCACTCGCATTGGTCGGGGTTGGGGGTTAATGTATAAGAGTCATTTAGAGCAGTCCCTTCATAGTATGGAGGGTTAGGACTTAGACATAGCCAGCAGGATCGGGCGAGGTCCGGATGGGTAATATTGAGGGCTTTATAAGCCCCGTGTATGAGACTAAGGAGGGAGCTTACAGTTGGAGGGATGAGCCCCAAATCAGGAGGGTTAGTTGAATACCCGGAGAGGGTGAGAGGTGAGGTCGTGGGCCCTTGGCTTTGGGTAGTCATGGGCATAGGGGATGAGAGCCCTTTAGCAATTGTTGGGCCTGGTGTTGGCGGTAATGGTTTTGTCTTTAACTCCTTTTTAATAAGGAAAAACCCCCCTATGTCAGGTCCACTCATATAGTATCTAAATCCCCAAGTTTTTCTTGTTGTCTAAGATTGGTCCTCAGGGGTGAGGACTTTGAGTTGCAAATGTTGGCAATTGCCTGGTCCCCCGTCAAAAGAGTGAAGGCTCCTTTTTGACAGTGGCAAAGGGTCCTTGTGTTGGCCACTCCCTGTTCCTGACAAGCTAAGGTGTCGATCTTTTATTGAGGGAGTCCATGCTGTGGCCACTGTCTCACATCCCCAGTAGGCACAGTAGTATTCGCCTGGGGAATTACAGTAACTTCTCCCTTCCACAGACGCGGGACACAGATATATTCCCGGGGGGAGATCTACATTGGGATCAAGAGGAACAAGATCACATGAATAAAAACTGAAGGTTGGATGGCCTGACCCTATCCATCTGTCAACCTCTTTTTGGTTATCCCACCTAATCAATGACCAGACCCAAGGACGGTGGGGGTTTGCCATCGCGGGGGTAATTAACATGAGTAATCCCATTAGGGCCCAGGGGGTTACAGCCTGGGGTTTTGGTTGGGTCATCTTGTAAGGACGCACAACAGAAGTGTACAGAAACAGCGTTAGGGAGTCTTTCGGCTCAGTTTAAGCTTTAGGGGGTTATCAGACCATTTGAGTTCCCAGGAGTCATCCTCTGGCGCTGAGGCAGGCTTTAGATGTGACGCGTGGATCCAAGAGGCGATCCCGTCAACCTTTACCGCTGTAGGAGTAGTCAGTAGGACCTGGTATGGTCCTTTCCAGCGAGGCTGTAGAGTCTCTTGTTGGTGGTGCCGGACGAGCACAAAGTCTCCCACCTGGTATGGATGTGGTATAGGAGACTCGCTGGGGGCGTAGGCTGAGGCTAGTTGCGTCCACAAGTCCCTCTGCAGGCTGTCGAGGGCAATGAGCCTGTCAGACAAAGAGGTTGGTAACAAGGTAGTATGTTCAGTTAAGGGAGTGAGACCTCGAATGGGGGGGTGGAGTGCCAAAGAGGATCTCGAAGGGGGTGAGGTTAGGGGGTTTGGCAGACGGGGTGTTTTGTGCGCAAAAAAGGGCATACGGCAGGAGCATCGTCCAATCTTTTAAGCCAGTCTCATGAGCTAATTTAGTGAGGGTCTCCTTAATAGTTTTATTCATCCTTTCTACCTGTCCTGAACTTTGGGGTCTATAAGCACAATGTAACTTCCAATCAATCCCCAATATGTTGGCCAGTCCCTGACTTACCTTAGCCACAAACGCCAGCCCATTATCAGACCCTATTACCTTTGGCAATCCGAACCGGGGAAAAATTTCTTCCATCAACTTCTTTGTGACCATGGCAGCAGTTTCCTTTTTGGTAGGAAAGGCCTCAGTCCATCCAGAAAAGGTGTCCACAAAAACTAACAGATATTTTAGTCCATATCGGGCAGGTTTAACTTCTGTAAAGTCCACCTCCCAGTGTTGTCCAGGCCTGGCACCGCGTAGCCTTTTGCCTGGAGCCAGCTTGGTGGGATAGGCATTGGTTAATTGACAAGCCTTGCAATTAATCACAACCCGTGTGGCAACCTGACGTATGGCAGTGGGAGATACCCCCGGGAAATCTTGGCGTTGAGCCAGTAGACATAGTTTCTTAACCCCTAGATGGGTGAGCCGGTGGGCCTGTTGAATGTAAGCAGTCAGGTCTGAGGCCTCAAAGGCTGGGTTATTTTGGGCTTCCTCCTTAGGAGGAGGATTTTTGACATCAGTCACCAACATCTGTGAGTTTCCCATGGCCGCAGATCTTGCTGTCTGATCGGCCAGGTTATTTCCCTTTGTAACGGGATCAGTTCCTTTTTGGTGGCTGTTACAGTGTACTATCGCCACCTTCTGGGGTAACATGACTGCGGCTAGCAGTTGAAGAATTTCTTGTTTGTGTTTTATTTCTTTGCCCGCGGAAGTTAGAAGTCCCCGCTGGCGGTATATGGCCCCGTGGATGTGGGCCGTTGCAAAAGCATATCGGCTATCTGTGTAAATGTTTGCTCGCTTTCCTGCGGCGAGATCTAGAGCCTTAGTCAGAGCGATCAGTTCGGGCTTTTGAGCCGAGGTTTCATCCTCTAGTTTGGCTGCCCAGATAATATTGGAATGATCAGTCACAGCCGCCCCCGCATACCGCTTACCTTGAATCAAGAAGCTA